GAGTAGCACACTGTGTCAGTTTTAGCGCTGACCTCATTCTCGTGTTGAGTTATCAAGCACGACGTCATATTATAATGAATGAGTCAGTGAGTTTGATTTAACGTCGCTTCAAACAGTATTTCAGTTATTTCATGGTGTGTCAGCTTGATGTGAGAGGTCCTACAGAAACTTGGATTTTGGAACGCTTAAGCGACACCTCAGATGCTGGACACCCGTGTCCCATATGAGGTAGGATTATTGCACTTCTACAGCGACGTGTGTGTGTACGTGCGAGCGTGTGTGTGTAAGTGCGAGCGTGTGTAAGTGCGTGCGTGTGTGTGTGTACGTGCGTGTGTGTGTGTGTACGTGCGTGCGTGTGTGTGTACGTGCGTGTGTGTGTGTACGTGCGTGCGTGTGTGTGTACGTGCGTGTGTGTGTGTGTACGTGCGTGCGCGTGTGTGTGCTTGTTCTCAGTGTTCCATGTTGTGATGAGACAACGAAAGATGACAGATGTCTAATAAATTGATATTTTATTAAAAACTGCATCAATATCAACACTCACAGTCAAACAAGTGTTATTTCACTGGCAAGTAAAGTTATAATAATAAAGTTTGCAGCAACATACAGATTTATGGTTATTGGTATCAGAACCGGGCATTCATAAAAAAGCACAAAGCTGAAGATCACTTCTAGACACAGTCAGCACTCATTGTACAATACAGTAATACTGCATTCGCTGGATCTTCTACTGGGCGATCAGAACACGACACTGATAAAATGTTATACATGTACATTCAATACAATGCCAAATTCATCTATTGAAACAGCTGCGTGTCGCCACCGATTCAGCAATTCGTTATCTCAAAAACACTATACAGGCAATATTCAGAGTCGAACATTTATTCAAACACCTATCCATAAAGAAAAGATCTACAAGAGGCCGCGTCAAAAACTATGGGCCAAAGAAAAGTATCCACTTGAAAATTGGATTTGATCCAAAATTACAAGCGCCCTCAAAACATTACTAGGCTGAAAACAGTCGCCGAAACACTGCAAGGCCCAAGCACAGCTGTGATACCCATATCAAATACATCACCGTGGAAAATCCATTTCATGTTTGTTCCAGTTTTAGCAACAATCAAACATGGTGTGTACTGTCTTTGTCCGGCAGTTAATAAAAAGGCCTTGGCATCAACACTGTTATCTGCGGTTCAATACCTCATATTTCATTATGTTCTGGGGTTGGATGGGATATTAAATCCTGTTTCATTTCCCACTGGCTTGTTTGGCATATAATACACGTTATGCTGGAATTTGATGTTTAAATTTTTCATCATCTTTGACTTAATGCACGATTGTTCAAATACGATGCCTTTAGGCAACAACAATTCACGTATACTGCTCAACATTTGCTAAGGACAAAAAGAGTTGATTTTAATCAAAGGTGTGGTCCTAAGCAAATGTTAAGTAGTTTAATATATGCATTGCTGCCTGTAGCTTTTTAATTATCACTTCGTATTTCCCTAAAAACAGTATTTGCTACAGTACAAATTAAGCAGCAAATGCCTTGCAAAATGTCTTTGGGATATAACAGCACCTTGTATGTTTACCATAGGAAGCGTATTCTAAAACTAAAATCAGTTACAGCTTTCCATTAATGTTTTGCTGAAAATGATCGTTTGAACTTTTGACATAACAAAATGGCAAACATTATATATCCTATAAGCAGGTCTTTATTAAATGTATTCAGTTGGCATAATCGGCGGTAGTAATTATTAAAAACGACAAAAAACATTTCCATAATCATAAGACATATCTGTTCAAAGCAGAGTCCATTGTACGATTCTGACTACATCATAAGTGAGTGAGTGTGTGAGTTGGGTTTAACGCCGCTTTGAACAGTATTCCACTTATATCACGGAGTGTCAGCTTAATGTTGGAGGAAAGCCCGAAGTGATGCAGGTCTCAGACGTTTACCACTTTGGTGAAACCCACGAGCAAGGGTATGGTGCTGGCAAACCTAGAAACATAACCGGGGCGAACCGGGATTCGAACCCACAATCATAGGTTTCTGGCGTGCCCAAGGGACGCAACTCTGCACAGCGAATCGCGGCGCCTTAGACGAATGGTCAAACTTCGTGTGTTTATGAATTATTATCAAATAGTGGACGGTGCCAGGTGTTCGTGAAAGGTTGAGCGTACCCTGCCCCACGGTACCCGTCATAAACACATGCAAAGGCAAGAAAATGTCTCTTTATTTCGGACCAAATGCATCTGATTACACTACGTACAGAATACATACAAATATTTATAAAAAGGAGTTATGAAGACAGAGGATTCATGACATTACACCCTTAGAATTGTTTGACATTGGAGGAAAACATGCTAGATACATAGCTAGAGTTTGATTACATGTACCGCATCAATAGCCATTAAGATATAACATTTATTATTTGCCCGTGAAGAGATCACTCGTTTAATAAACTTGCAGATGATTACACATTGCATAATACCAAAGCACGTGACTTGTGTACTGCGCGAACAAGTTTCAAGAACAAACATTGAAAAATCTCAACATCCCTGAGCTTATTCAACTACATTGCATGTAAAGATGAGAGATCACGGAGTGGAGCTTATGCAACCCTGAATTCTAGAGGTTGGCCGTTGTATGGTATGAAATTAATAAGTATCAACTTTTGACCTGTTTGAAGTATTATTCTGTAACAGAATAACAGTTAAACTCAATTGGATTATGCTGTGGGTCGCGTCTGCCTATTCACACACGACAGTACAATTCTAAAAAAAGTTAAAAACGGGAAGTAATTTATAAATAACTAAACTCGCTCCCGTCTACTACCAATTTTAAGACACTCATAAATAGTTCTGGAAGCGAAAGCGAGTCAGATACCAGAACTGTTCACGAGTTTTGTTTTCTATTCATATTGAGATGGAGACTATAAGTTTATTGTATATAGTTTGTGCAGAACTGTTTATATGCAGAGCAAAATTAGTAGGAAGTGATATTCATACTCAATATAACCAAAATTACACGTCCATTGTTTACCTAAAAAGGTACGCGAACATGGTTATACATGAGGTAAAAATACTCTCTAACTGGTCGCAACGAAAGTCCCAATTGATACTATATAAACCACCACACAGAGGCTTACAAAAATAGATTCGTATTCTACTTTATGACTTGCTACTTTAAATAGGTCTACAGCACTTATTTACGGAAGCCTTTAAGGGATACTTGTTTTTTCTTTCTTTCTTTCTTTCTTGAAATTTCAAGATACTAAGTTGAAACTTCAAGATTCATACTTTGAAATTTCAAGTTAAAATCTTGAAAGTTCAACTTAGTATCTGGAAATGTCAAGATCATTATCTTGAAATATCAACTTCTATGTATCTCGAAATTTCAACTTAGCATTTGAAAATCCAATAAAACAAAGAAAAGAAATGGCCCTGAAAGGCATCCGTAGTTTTTGCTTGTCGTAAGGTGCGAGTAAATTGGTTCGGTGGTCAAGCTCATGTGACCCCGACGGCGTGGAACATGGTTCAGCATATCAACAGCTGGTCTAGTCAGCCTACACTCGATTATTTACAGGCCCTCTTGGTATAGGTGGAACATAATGAACCCTGTGTTAAACAGTGAGTAAGTTTCGGTCAACGTCACCGTATTTCAGTTGCATTTCTATCGGAAAAAATCCAATGCGCGTAAAAGGCAAGATAGTTGTGAAAATAATATGATGGGATCGCTGAAAATCAGGAGTTCGCCACAAGGGTAAGCACGTCCTGCCCTACCGGTAGCAACCGACACTCACACAATTTGCATAAACAGTATGTGTCTGTTGCCTTACGCCAGTGAAAGCGGAAGTGATCATGAACACGGGTATGGTATTGGCGAACCAACAGTTGTAACTGGGTAGATTCCGGTATTCGAGCCAAAGATCAGTGGATCCTGGAACCACTCGGGGACATAACTCTACACAACCCACTGTAGACTCTAGACTGAAATTAAAAATAATTGAAATAATTCTTGAATAATATAAGAATTTTCAAATTGCTATCGCCAAGCTCTGGGTGTACGCTGTAACATTGTCTACGAAAACACTATGGTCGAACAGGGGTCCGTAGAACAATTAACTGAATGGCATATTACTTTGCATTCGTGCAGGAGGAATGTGAAAAGTTTCAGCTGCCCGTTTATTGATATCAGATATACAGTCTATGAGTTGGGTACAATCAAGTGCACTTAACGTTTGATTTACGAGGTACGCGTGTCATCGAGTATTGCATACCTTGGCAGAGGCCACTAACGAGATCGGGTGGTCAGGCTCGGTGACTTTGATGCATGTCATCGTATCCCAATTGCATAGATCGATGTTCATGATGACTGGACTGGGTTGTCTGATCCAAACTCGATTATTGCAGACCACCGTCATATAGCTGGAATATTGCTGAGTGCCGCGTTAAACAACAAACAAACAAAAACATATCTTGGCCAACACGTATTACCTATACTTCAATCCAATTTAAAGGAATGAGAGAGTATGGTCTTACGTTGTACGTAGCAATATTCCAGCAATATCACAGCGCTAGCGGGGCACGCACAGTACCCATGTTGGGAATCGAACACGGTCTTTGGCGTGTTGAGCGAAGGCCCAACCACTAGGCTACCCCACCGCCACTCAATCAAAGGAATCTAGACTACGCATACACTATAGTACATGAAAAGTGGATAAAATATTAAACAATAATTTCCTGGAATCGTAAAGGAACATGTTGATATGAATTTAACTAGACACAGTCAATAAATTTCTGTTTACAATATCATGTTTCGGACTCTCGGGACTATATCTAGTATATGTTCAGTAAACAGATGTGCCCGTGAAGATTCCGGGGTAGAACAGGTCTTCAGCAACCCATGCTTGTCGTAAAAGGCGACTAACGGGATCGGGTGGTCAGGCTCGCTGACTTGGTTAATGCATGTCATCGTATCCCAATTACGTGGATCGACGCTCATGAAATTAATCACTGGATCGTCTGGTCCAGACTCGACTATTTTACAGACCGCTGTCATATAGCTGGAATATTGCTGAGTGCGGCGTAAAAAAAATCCCCAAAAAACAGTAATCGGATGAATGTGCATTCAAGACACCAAAGTTACTGTCTTCTTTCAAATTGGAATTACAAAATTTCATTTTACCCGTTGTCAGCAAGAGTCGATGACTTCCTTCTTTACGCAAAAATGGTAAATTTGTTCAACGTAGTGAGTGAGTGGGTCTGACGCAACATTGAGCAGTATTTCAGTTGTATCACGGTATGTCACCTGAATGGGAGATGAAAGCTCAAAACGTCGCGGGTCGTAGACGTTTACCAGTTTGATGATACCCACCAGCACGGGTATAGTGACAAACTAAGGATCTAAATCAATGCGAATCCTGGATTCGAGCCCAAGATAAGCCGATCCTGGTGCGATTATAACACATATGACACATTCCTCACTGGTAGCAGGGTGACGATGTGATATCGAATTGGCACTTAATCATCATAGAAACTTGCTTTTCGTGTTCATTTCTAAAAGTTTGTCAAGGTATGTCAAGAAAGGCTGGTAATGTCTCTTGCCTTCCAGGTGATGAGCATAATGTTTCCTGGGACCTCCCATGATCCCAAAGGGCACTATTTTGTGGAGGCCCCACGGGAGGTCATACCCAGTATGATTATCTATAAGTAACAATATGAACACAGGAACGAACAACGCCCTGGTCACAGGATGACTGTTGAATACCTTGAGGGAAAAGTTGGCCGATAGTATGAGCGCGAGTCTCTCCCCTACCGTCAGCTGGTTGGTGACGTGAGCGTGCATAACGTCATGGTCGTGATGAAGGGCGTGGAAGGTTTTATACAACCAGAAATTCTTGTGAAAAGCGAAATGCAGGAAGAAGAACATCGCGTCATACAACAACACACTGGCGATAAGATCAAACACAAGCACTGAGAAAGATGGCGGCTCAAGCGGAAGTGCTCTTGTTGTCTGGATCCACGACTTCCGCTTCTCGACCCAGATCTCGGGATCCACGGCATGGTATTTCTTGACGATAAACGTATCCAGGAGCATTAGAGGAGCCATGTATATAACAGCGTCACGTAGCATGCTTGCAATGGACTGATGCTCATACGTCACTGATGGGTGGACTTTGTATTTCTGCAGGGACTTCATGTAATGAAGAGCGTAGGGATATATGGGTATAAGAACTGCATAACAAAATGTGGCTAGCCAGCTCTCGAAGTAGACTGAATTGAAAACACTACACTGTAACAGCCAGTACCACGCCGAGTTGGTCCATTTCTGGATATAGTCGTAGTAGTATACGCATGCTGCAGCGGCAAGGACGATAACTCCTCTGATGAGTGCTACTGTGAAAACATGTCCTGACTTTTCCGTGGTTTCAGTTAGCACGTCTCTTTCGTGCTGTTGTTGTGCTCTCTGTGCCTTCATTGCGGTGGCTGAAATCAGAAGGAAGAAAAACATAATCAATATGCAGTCAAAAGTGCAATTAACACTATTGCTCACAGTGTAATTTATCTATCCTTAGAAGGCACACAGAACAATTCAGATATCGAAATGACCATGTAACGAATTGAAACCTAATGTCTAAAATGTGGTACTTAACTTCATTGTCCATATATGTCCCAACACAAACTTACAACAGTCATATTAAAATTATTATTACCCAACCATTTCCTTGTGGATTATATCTTCGACTACATCTTGGTAGAGTCACGTATCGCACTTACGTTACGGTGTATTGAATACCTTAGACAAACGTTTTATTTTTGAAAATATATAATTTTGATAGAAACAAGCTACTATATTTGAAGACTTTGTAGGCCAGGTGAATGGGTTTTAACGTCGCGTTCAAGATTGTTGCACTAACAGAGCGACATGCATGCACGTGTGTGGTTGTATGTGGCTGCGTGAACTAGTCCGGACTAAAGCCGAGTTTATAATGCTAGCCCACTGAGATACCAAGCCGCAGTTTTACATGAATATCCACTAAGAAACAGTATACTGTGACCGACCAGTCCTTCTTTAAGCACCTTAATGCCGAGCGCCAGGCAGGGTAACAACAAGTACCTCTGTTGACGTCTTTTACCATGGCGCGGTCGGGATCGAACCCCCGACCTTCTGCTCTCCGGGCAGACGCTCTACCCATTAGACCACGGATGCGGTCGGAGAATAATAAACATTCTGCATTTTGACTATTCGAGTCAATCGCTTTCACTGTAAGAGCGAATTGATGGCCGTTGTGCAATGACATGACTTGGCATGTACTGTGATACAGCATAAAATAGTAGGTAATAAAATAAGGTATTCGATAAAACACGTACACCATGGGACAAATAAATATTCCATGGTTTGAGACGGCTCCTTACAGGTGTACGGTGTCAAGAAACACCCGATAAAATCTATAACTCAACGTAGTAGGCTAAACCAGACTACAATTCCACCATAACCCATTCGTTTCTTCGGTGTTGGAATCATATTGAACATGACGGAGATCGGACTTGAGAACAGGCGCTAACAAGGTCCTTTCAGCGCCATGGTTGCAATCATGTCACATTGATGCGCTCCCAGCCTGGTGTGATACAGATCATGGAGCCATCTGATACCTGGCCACTAATCCCAGAATGTTAATGTGTATACGAGATAACACATCTGTCACGTTATGACATAGACTGGATACCGGTCTATCAATACCAACAATCGACCCAGTTATATCGTCGGGTTTCTGTACTTAAGTCATGTATGGAGTTTTTCAGCATTGTCAACGCATCGCCGAGCGCGACTTTTGCATTGCGGTTTGCGTTTATTCGTCGTTTACACAACGCAACCGCAACCGACATTTCCACTTTCTTTTTTTAAGCATGTAATGAAACGTCATGTTAGATTCAAACTGTAATTGTACCCACGTGCATAGAAAATTACGATATGTGCTGCACAATATTGAATTCAGATGTTATAATGTCACAAACAAACATGCTGCGCGACCCGTTTAAAATAACCAGGTATTTTCGGAAGAAGTGCATTGAAATCGACATTATTCACACAAGTGAGAAAACATAATAAGTATTTGTAGATCAGTGATATCTAAATTGTCTATTCACACCGACACAAAGTAACAGTTCACGTGGTAGCTTTTTGACAACCTCAAAAGCGGTCCCAACTGTTTGGTGGTTTTATTAGAGTCGTTTCCCCTTTGAAGTGACACCAGAAACGTATCGCAAACTGTCAAAAAGGCTGTACCATTGAGATCGTTTATTGTTTACTTACAATTCATCTTACGGTGCAATTGCACCATAGCTACATGTGTGTACAATTATTAGCAGATTAGGTCAGTACAAATCTGAAATAGGAATGCTATATAATTATATATACACAAACTGTTTCAGAGTAAGACTGTACAAAACAACGATCTACCCATCTTCCCGAGGCAAGAGAGTTAACTGACTTTAAAAGTCCAGTTTCCACTGGACTTTAATTGTCAGTTAACTCTCTTGCCTCGGGAAGATGCGATCTACCTTACCCTGAAGAAGATTCATAAGATACAACTTCCCGCGCCCAGAATAGATCTTTAACACTGTAGATTGCAGGTAGGTATTTTTCATGACACGCCAAGACAATAGTCTCAGGGTAGGTAAACAAATCGCCGTAGGAAGAATTGCGAAGCATCGGTTAAATCGAACAACTAAATCATTTGAATAAAGCTTTCACTTTCCATACACTCCATGGTGTTTGTACATTGATTTGCAATCAATTACAGGGTCCGGGGCGTTGTTCCACAAAGCGATCATAGGGCTTAGACGATCGTAACTCCCATACTTATGTATAGACTAACGATAGTTGTAGCGCTAAGGTGGCGCTGTGGGATGGTCCAAAACATTAAAATATAACGTGATCGTCCCAAAATGGCTCTTTTGGCAATTGTTTTTATTCAATTTCAAAGAAGTCAATATGACGTAAAAGACAGTTGATTGAATCAGATTAACGCGCCCAGTTGTCAAACGTGATAAATTGGATTTGCTTGTCCTAAAACGAATAGAACTGCCCTCGATAATTATTATTCTGGCGACACGAAAGGACCCTCTTGATGCGAGCATTTGTCAGGATGAGTGAGACTGATATCAATCCAAGTCAAAGTATCAAATTAGAATCGGAATATTTTTGAAATTTTAAAGATTAATAGTTATTTTGAATAGTGGAGAATATTACTGAAGAATATTTTTACAAGCATTATTACTTGATATTTCCTTGTCCTCGGTTGTTTACATATTCTATCCCCATATGTGCCAAAATCTTGCTTACGTAACGCTTAATATATTGAGGTCATTGGGCTCATAATGTCAGATAAACCTTTCTCTCATTAAGTGAACTGTTTGGTTGTTGTTTAAAACCGCACTCAGTAATAATCACATATATATATTATCATAAATCTATGAATCATCGAGTCTGGACCAGACAATCAAGTGATTGATATGAGTATCGATTCATTCAATTGGGAACGATGACATGCGTCAACGTAGTCAGCGAGCCTGATTATCCGATCCCATCATTCGCCTCTTACAAAAAGCATGGTTTGCTGAAGACATGTTCTAACCCGGATCTTCACGGGTCTTCAGTGAACTGATTTGTTATTCATATTATAATATATTTACCAAATCACACTAATAATTAAGATATCATTGAACAGGAAACATCTAATGTTCAATTAATCATATAAGATAAGATATTAATTCAAAGATATTAACCTGATAGCATTGTGTCATCGGGGGGTGGGGTGGGGGGGGGTGGGGGGGGGGGGGGGGGGGGGGGGGGTGGGGTGTGTGTTGGCACTGACCCTCACCCGGTCGTCGCTTAAGATCCATTCTAGCCCAGACCTTAAGACCCATTCTAGCCTAGACCTTAAGACCCATTCTAGCCCAGAATCCATACCGGGGTCATTTGGATGTAGTATTGCTTTACTAATGTATATTGATATTGCACTTCAGCATATGTTTACGTCTTTGGAACTCAAAACTACCTAAGGTAACGGGATTCGATTTGAAATTTCCTTTGCAACTGTGCTGACATACAGGCCGTCACAGGTTACCAGATATTGAACATTGTGTTTATAAAGCTTAATAATTGCAACCTTACTGCAAATAGTAACGGATAGAGCAGAAATACGTGACTGGCAACCACGGCTAAAACAGGTTTATACTTAAACTTCAACTGGATTAGCAACAGATGAAGGAGGAGGTCATTAACAGCTATGACTTGGCATGACTATGCACAATATTAATCTACGAGGGTAGTGAAATACTGCAAGTCATGTGTCCATAGAGCCACAAACACATGACAGATCAATGCCATAATGGCGTTACGGCTGAGTAGATTCGAAAAGGTGTTGGTTGGCACGAACGACAACAGCAAACTGACGTCATCTCTGGTAAGTGTGAAAAGGACACAAAAACAGGAGTTCACCGCATGATGACCGATTGTCAGTATTCGTTCGTGAAGGTGAAAATCGACCTAATGATTAAACCAATCTATAATGACATCGTAGCATCTCAAGCATCTCAAGATCTCAACAGGGGTTTACAAACGTACTCCCGCGTGTTCCGTATACATGAGAACGCTCCGTTCAACATAGTGAACGGCTCTACAACTCTAGGAAGTATTTTGAGTATATGTTAGAGTATGGGAGCTAAAATCGTTTCCTTTAACGAGGCCAGGGCTCTGATCTTCACAATGCGACCTTAGCCTTATGCTTGTTGTAACTCATTGCGTTAACATTGACCTGGGAGAGTCATAGTACAATGGTCTCACTTGCACAATCCGGCCTCAGCCTTATGCCTGTACATGTAACCCCTAACGTTAGCATAGACCTATAGCACAATGGTCTCACTTGCACAATGCGACCCCGGCCTTATGCCTGTTGTAACCCCGTATGTTATCATCGACCTGGGAGAGTCATGACACAAACGAATCTAACGTAGTGCATGTCGTAAATATACAAGTTGGACATTTTTATCTTTGCCATATGGATATCTATCACGAATATGCTGGCACGTGAATGTCCTGTAGTTTTTACGATAGTCCGCCTGAACATGTGAAATTAGATAAAAGTGACAAGACCATTTCCATTATCAAAAGAAATATCTTCTAAAAGCAGAGTCGTGTGCAGGAGCACGTACACCCCCAGCCATCAGAAGTCCGGAACGAACGTTGTTGCCTTCATGACTGAGAAATCGAAATACTATTGTAGGTAATCCATGTTGTTCTTTGTTGACCCCCAATTGCATTGTGCATTCATTCTTCATGGTTAGAAAATACAGGATTGTATCAAGGGGAATGAGAAAGTCGCAACGATCCATAACGCCATGATACATTAACAGGCAATCAACCACTCATGCATGACCATCCGATACATTTAGTTCCCTTTTACGAACAGCATTATTACTAT